ATGATAGTGGTAAAAAATTCAATAGCAGTTTTCGCGACTAAAATTGGTGACCGAAATAATAAGTAAAAAAATTAATTTAAAAAATATATTAAGTAAGATGACGTGGCAACGTGACGCGGGCATCGATTACGATGTACGATGTAATCTTGTACAGGCGGCTTGATGTGTCAATCCGAGGCGATACTATCGCGATAGCTTCTATTGGGCAACCGCTGCGCTTTGTTATCCTAACGGATTTATATTTATGAAATTCGGCCTATACCCTTATCAAATACCAAGTATCGACTCGCCTAGCTGTGATTTTTACTCGATATTGAGCAACTCAATTGTTCTTTTAGGTTGATTTATTTATTTATTTAATTAGGATCACCAACATGATATTTTTGACGACACGTTTTGCTCAGTTTGTAGTGGCCCTACTAGAAAGTGCCGGCGGTCGCGGGTTCGAGTCCCGCTGCGGGTATTCATTTGTGCGATGACGAAGGTTTGTACTCCAGTCATGGGTGTTTATATTTATAATATGTATGTATTTAAAGTTATATATGTGTAGTGTATCAACTATCTGGTATCCATAACACAAGCCTCGTAGCTTACCATGGAACTAGATGGTGCTGTGTGTTAATGTACCAACGTATTTATTTATTATTATTATTATTTATATACAGTAACTTAACAAAATACTCAATTGTACAAAGGAGGTCTAAATCCAACTGTTATCATACTTATTGGTAACCACGACATGCATAGACAATTACTCGGAGCATAAATTTTTTTTTAAACTAACCGCACTATAAATTATAAAAAAAAACATTAAAGACACTATTATAATTATGTGAGAAAAAATAAACAAATAAGCAAAACATTAGATACAAGTTAAAAACTATCACCATAAGTAACTCGAGTAGTAAAGTCGATATCCGAGTTTCTGTGTAAGATATTATATTGTTTTAATATTCTATTTATAGGAGAATAAAGATCCAAGTTTGATTTGGATTTGTAAATGTGCAATAGGTTGTACTTGTTATAACGAGGTATCCTTGTATGGGACATTTATTTTTAAAGTTGAGACTAAAGATGGGCAGTTAGTTCTCGCGTTTATCATTCGACTAGCATTACCCACGGCTCCGCCCGCGTTCAAATGAGAAAAACCAAATTCTTAGATTTTACATATTTGTATACTCTTACATTGCAGTTTTTGTATTTTTTCTCAGAAATGAGATGTTTTTCCGCGGTAAAAAGTATCCTATACTCGTATGTCGACCCGGATAACCAGCTATCACCATACCTAATTTCATCAAAATCCCTCCACACAGACAGACAGATAGATAGACAGACAGACAGACTGACTGTAAGATAGACAGACAGACAGACAAAAATTCTAAAAACTATAGATTCGGCCTCTGTATCGATAATAAAGTCTATTTCAATAAAAGTTTCCAAAAAATATTCAATGTACAGATTCGGCTTAGTTACGATTTTATTATATGTATAGATATAGTATAAATATCACTTTTATGTTATACATATAATTTAAATAATGTTTAATTTGCAAGATTGATTGTAGAGATGTGTTATTAAAAATTTCTATTGATATGGCAATTTCGTTAGTGCATTACACTAATACACTAAAAATTAAGTTAGATTTACATTTAAGTTTTCAATAACTTCCATACCTAATGTTGTAGTCTAATACATTTTAAGAAGTCGCTACGTATAAACTGTAGGTTTACAAACTCCCCCAATACCTACCGAGCACACATGCAAAATAACCGCTACATTATATTATTGTTCAGCTGAAACTGGCTTGGTGTGAGTGAACACGATGAAAATCTTTATTTTCACGCTCTATCTCTCTTTATCTAATCGCTCCGGTCTGATAAGGACGGAGCGCCGGAAAAACTGGTGCGGGGCGAGGGGTAAAGGCTACAACATCGATTCCGCGCTTTCACTGCTAGGGGCCGTGTAAACCTTTAAAAACAGTACTTTTGCTATGCGATTGTGATCTCTTAGCTTATTTATATAGGAGAGAAATTTCAGTAGTGAGAGCTCTTCGGTAAATGGATTGCCTCCCTCTTGGGGGTTCTCATAGTGGGATCTAGATGACGTAGATATGCTGATACGCGGCTATGTGTGCACGTGTACAGATATTGAATACGTCTGTGTGTAAGCAACTAGGTTTGTGTTTTCCGGCTACCGAGTTATATGGGTGTAGTACAGGGACGCTTCCGATGGGTTAAATTTTGCCTGTGTTTGCAAATATATGAGGGGTTGTAGGTAACCATCCCTTTTTGTAATATAATTTTATGTTTGAGTGTAGATAGGTGGATAGATTAAGGAAGACGGAGGCTGTGATTTGATTTGATTAGGAGGTGTTTGCAGTAGGGTCGGGGAAGATAGGCTGATTGGATCGCGAATAGCGGGGAGGGCAAGCTTTATAGAAATATGTTTTTAATGTCGGTAGCTTATTGAATTAACTGACGTTGAGTGAGTTGGTGTGTAACTAATCTGTTAGGGTGTTTGTTTGCTAATAATTAAACAAGTATCTGTTCATTAATTTCATTAAATTATTGATAATGATATAAATTGTTCATAATGATTTTGCCAATATGTATATTGTGTTGCGTGCTTTTATGTTATTGAGTGTTCTTATAAATCAGATTGCTTTTGAATAAAATAAACTTATTTATGTTTGAAAATGTAGTACTTACGCTTAAACTGTCCACTTCTAAGGACAATATTATATCTTTTATAATCTGTAAATTCGGTCTAAAAATGATAACAATAGAACGGTTTTTGTTTATGTCACAACACAATAGAGGCCCTGATATTGTCATCGTTGGTTCCTTTGAGTTTACACTACACTGAAAATTAAAGTAGCACCATAACAATTGCGCTGAACGGTGAACTTAGTGTGTTTGTTTGTGTAGAAACGCTTTTTACCTTTGTCGGCGTACGTTCTGTTTTATAGTTATTTTTGGAGGTCTGCGCGATATCGATCGCGGCGGAATGCTGTTGACAGTGAAATGGGTTTAACAATTAATAAAACTCTTCGGCGTTGGGAACAAGTGTCCACATACTTAAGATTTTATTCATCTCACCCTGGAATGTGGAGTTTACCTAAGTTAATTATGAAGCTTTCACTCAAGTTTTGTTGTGATCAATGACATTTACCATAAAAATCATTTTTGATTATCTATTTTGAGGATCTGTAATGGATTCCAGTGTAAAAAGCGTTCTATAATTCGGTCATAAAATTACAAATAAACAGCCGTTTATTCTGAGAAAATAAAAACACCCCCACGATCGGTTGACTTCTGTAATCGGCTTAGTCGGTACCCCTCCGGTTTAGACAACCCCCTGGGACCAGAGCGATGCAGCGAGTGTTATGGCTTGATGAGAAAACCTTATCTACAGATTATAAAATTGGTTTCGCGTAATTGAGTCATAAAAGCTAAAGTTAATTTTTTCCCCGATTATGCAAAATTGCACGTTGAGTTTACTGTATGGAAAAATAAACAGATATTTTTTGACAGAACAATATAAATTATGTGATTTAAATCCTTCTTCAATAGACAGAAAAATTTAGGTTATTGGCTTGGCTAATATGGCGGTCTTTAATCTTATTCTGGCACAAAGGAGATGCCATGACGAGGCGAATATTGACGCAAACCATTTAATATTTAGGTATTCCAAGCAGTACTGACGTGTACACGACTTTAATAACTTAACTTCATAATTGCTTATAATGTCAATTGATAATTTATATTATAAAATAATATTATTCAAACGGAATAAGCATGATATTTGCATTAGCTATTGACACAAATATATCTAAGTGAAGTACAGAAATCTTGTATCTAATCTAAAGATCACGATTATTGTTTTATTAACGTTTTATTCATTACGAGAATATTTATAACCATTTGGAACGGAATAAATATTGAAAATTGTTAATGTTTATTTAGTTTACTATAAATTACTTTGATTTTCGAGCTCGTCAGTACTCCGAGAACGATACAGTCACTTACAATATTAAAACGGACAATACGCCGGTGCGGTCACGATAATCTTGGTAGTATTTGATTCTAGTTACCGAGAATCGATACCGAGCCGACGTACCGAATAGTTTGTTCGTAATATTTTACGACCTCGATACTTTTTGTTCGATAAATGACATGACAAATTAATGGATTTATTATGAGTCGGATTGTGCGGTTCATTTTATTTTTGTGTCGGTTTAGGACGAATGCATTTTTAATTGAGTGAGGCACTTTTGTGGACTGTATAAAACGGCCCCCGCATGCCGTGGATATTTTTTTATTTGATTGACGTGTAGTAATGGGCAGGTGCGTAACAGGGCCCAACGATAGCTACTCACTTTTTCGAGTCCATTTTTGAAAGTTCTCTTTTTGTTAGTTGAGACGTTTTGCGATCTTTTTTCCAATACCAATTGATTTTTAGGGTTCCGTACCCAAACGTACAACGGGACTATTACTAACATTCCGCTGTCCGAACTCCGTCCGTCTGTCTATCTGTCTGACCGTCTGTCGCCAGGTTGTATCTCATGGACCGTGATAGTTAAAATAAGTATTTAAGGGGGCTCCCATACAACAGACATGATTTATTTTGCCGTTTTTATAGATAATGGTACGGAACCCTTCGTGCGCGAGTCCAACTCGCACTTGGCCGGTTTTAACATAAAATTTATATTATGTTTTCCATTACACTACTGCTAACATCATACTATCTATTCAGCAGATCGCTCAATATTTATAAATTTTCTATTTTTGTAGCTCGATGAAGCGTAATGACTGATATTAAGACTCGATATAGCTTTTTAATTAAGCTATTGATTATAAATGTAACGTAAAAAAGATTATGAACGTGAGAATCGTTTAGAGTGAATCAATAAGATGAAAAGAAAAAAAAACTTAAGCTAAGTAAACAATAGATATTACACGTATTTTCTGTATAATTAACATAGTTCAACATATTTCCAGTCGCTACAAAGTGCAGCAAGACGAGCTGGCACGTCGTGTGCGAATTGCAAGACAACGACCACGACACTCTGGCGGCGCAACCAGAATGGAGAACCAGTGTGCAACGCGTGTGGACTCTACTATAAACTACATAATGTAAGTAATTTTTTTTTGATTATTTTTGGAGTAAATAATATACTGTATAATTTCTTACTATAATGTAAATTTGTAAGTGTGCTTGTAGATTTTGTCATGTTGGAAGGGAACAATAGGTTCTGATCTTTTTATTTTGTGAGATTTTCAATTTCTCTCGGATTTAAATTCTGTTACAAACAGTTATTTAAATACAAGCTTAAGGGACGAATGATAAATCAACGAAATTTTGGTCACTAGTTAGACATATTAAAACACTATAACATCTTTAAAACCTTTCCTATGTTTAGTTCTCTTGGTGTCTGATAAAAATATTAGTTAATTAAAAAAAAACTAACTATACATTAAGTCTCCCCATTACATCTCTCAGGGGGCAGTAATCCCTCGGGATGATTTGACTGTATCTTTGCTTGGGGTCCAGCCGCACCCTGCTGAGAGTAATGTGTCATAACACCCATACAATTGTGTCAGTTAAACCGATTGACTTTAATCACAGGAATATGAAATTGTACTATTAAATACCTTAAATATTCATTGTTTTATACTATCTTAGTTTCATTAGAAGATTTAATTCAAATGTTTAAGATATACTATATAATATATAATTTTATATTAAGTACTAGCGGCTCACACTCGCTTCGCTCGGGATCACCTCTAGGAAAATAAAAACAAACCTATCCCACGGGAACCATATATTTTTCCGGGATAAAAAGTAGCCTGTGTGTTATTTCAGACTATAATCTATCGCTGTGCCAAATTTCATCCAGATCTGTTCAGTTGTTCTGGGGTAAAAGAGGAACAAACATGCATACATAGGTACTCACAAACTTTCACATTTATAATATTAAAATACGGATTGGCCTTTTCTCTTCAAACATAACTGATCGCTTAGCAATACAGAAAACAATTCTCACGACTCTCACAGCCCTGTAATATCAAACGCCCTTATACAGACTCTCTACTACGTCAAAAAAGAACAAACGTTACGGAATGGAGTGATACAATGACAAGAATTAACAGTCAATGCGACCCTCGAATACTTGAGATTTTTTGTTGAAATGTATACTTTATTGCCGCTCAAAGTATTCGTACAACAATACTGTTTGAGCTAATTATTCGTAAGGAGCGACAAAGGAGGTTGCTACTTCAGAAGTTGAAGGCATAATGATGGGAGTACAATACGGGAATGAACCAGTAGCGTTATGTCAAGATGTAGGGAACGCCTTCTTATACATATTTATAAAGGTCTTGTAAACATTCCCTGACCTGTTGGCTTGGTTCGAGTCTTAATTTATCAATCAAACATTAAAATGTGGGAATCTAGTTATAAGGAATAGAACTACGAGTAATTCCATCGGTAATATAAGTGCCTTCAAGATACAGACAAGTTATTGATATGTGCATCTATTTGCATTTAGATTATGGAGGATTACGTATATATTAATTTACTGTTAACTGTATAATATTAACATTTATAGGGGACTATTTTTTTGTTGGGTTTTACGATTTAGTGAAGAAAATAGGTGCATTGTTAAAGGCCGGCATTGCAAAGGGACATTTAGTAACAATGCGTAAATAAATACAGTATAATGTTAGGCTCGGGAGACGGCCTCGTGATCGATTTCACTCAAAAAATGCAATTCATACAATAAAGCACGAGCCCATTGTGATGCACCGGCATCACCCGCCGCCTACACAGCGTCGGGCTGGTCTTGATACAATGTTATAGCAAAATTATAATAATGAAAAGAAAAAATAACTGTTATTACTCATTTATTTTCCTAGTTTTGTAATTTTGATAAGATTTATATTCTGCATAATTTGTATGATAATTATTGTGAAATACACAGCGTCGGGCTGGTCTTGATACAATCTTATAGCAAAATTATAATAATGAGAAGAAAAATAGCTGTTATTACTCATTTATTTTCCTAGTTTTGTAATTTTGATAAGATTTATATTCTGCATAATTTGTATGATAATTATTGTGAAATCGTAGTTTTTTTTAATACTTACCTTTATAATTATCATCTGTACACAAAATATTCTTAGTATACAGTACTTACTATAAATTTTAATCATTTAGGCTTCAAAAATTTATAGCAAACAGAATTACAACACAATATGCTGCTATTTTTAAATACTTCTAGTATCAAATCTGTAGAGTAAACTATACCTCTTGAGCATGAGTGTTTACTCAAAACATGGCTCTCAAAGCACAATTGAAGACTGAAATTGCCCTTACTAATATTATACTGTTTCAAAAGCTACGCTCACGGTGCTCTGATCCTGCTAAACGACGTTATTGTTTTTAATAAAAACATTTTATTGGCCTTTGCGATACATCTTGTGTTGTTTACTTGATTGATATGGGAACGATCTTATGAAATGAATGATGACTTTTAAAACTTGCTAAGAAATTGGAGATTGTTAAAATATTGAAGCAAAAATAACGTAAAAATTTGTTAAAAATTGGTAAAATTTTCTTTGTAGATTGATTGGATTTAGTGAAGCGACCTTCCTTAACTTTAACTTTGTGTAGTAATTGACGCATTACCTTTTACTCACCTAATAGCATTTATTGTCCAAAACATCGTCTGTATTTGTTTAATTAATTAAAAAAAAGTAAAAACGATTAAGCTCTACCTAAAATATTTGCGAAAAGCAGTTATTCGATAGTAGGTAATATTTCATATTTTGTTTCTCGTAACTTTTAAACCAGAAATGAGGAATATTTTATTAAAAACTTATTCTGCATAAGCGCACTGGCTCTCAATTAAAAGTAATCTAAAATAAATTATTTATTTGGGCAACCACAATGTTCGGTTAATAGGATTAGCGTAGGTGCGTGGGTTCGATTCCAGTTAATACGTTGAAATTGGTATTTCAAATCTCTATAACATAATAAACTCTTGTCACTTGTGATAAAAGTCAATTTCCTTTAATAAGAAAACGAACAACATTTACCAACCACAATTTTTGTAACAAAAAGCCTATCCGCCCGCCTGTAGCTTTTTATAAATTTGTTTATTTAATTTATCACGCTCCTTTATTCTGTACTTCCTTCGATTTATACACGATTAGTTTTTGTGGATATTTTTAAACAAAATCAACTATCGATTTATCAAAATTTAATATAAGTAGTTATCTACCATCTTTCGTTGCGGCTTACCAATCGATTAAATAACAATTACTTAATTTCAAAATTATCTGTTTTGTAGCAAATTTCTTTTATCAAAATGAAATACATATTTGCATGTTTAACAAAATATAGAGCTAGTTTTATTTGCAAACTTTACAACATTAAACGAAGCAATACTGCAATTTGGTATCCGTTGTACAAAATTTCACAATAAATAACTGGTATCATTAACAAGCCTCGCAACAAACCCATCCTTATACATTTTGAGATAAAACATTAAACAAATTAAGTTCTCACAACACATCAGCCATTTCGTAACTAGATTGTAGCGTTAAGTGCCTTCCATACAAAAGTATTGGATTACCAGGTTGCATTGAAGCTAGAGAGCGCCCATAATAACAGCTCAAATGATACATTTGGAATACAATGGGGCGATCAATTCAATTTTTGAATTGAGAACGCTCTCCTTGTCTTTTTTTATTTCGTCTAAAGTGCTGTTTTGTTCAGCCAACATCCGAAGGAATCTGACAGTCACTGTTTTGTCTCCTGTTTTTCTTTTGCCTTATATTTAAATGTAGTGCTTATTTTTTTTATATTACAAATATAATATAATAACTTTTTGGAATGATAAAAAATTTAAATATTTTGTATTGATAGGCTATGGACCAAGTTTTGACTAGCTCAGATAAAAAGGGTTTAATTTACTCATTACATTACATTACACATGCAACTGGCTGGTGGCCAAACGGCCAGTACGTTTGGGCGAATGTTATAATGACATCAATTTGAATATTCAACATCGAACAGCGAGCCCATTTACATAGATTCGACCGTTGAATTTTGTGGCAATGCAAAATGTCGTTCATTCCTAATTATGTCACCGTTCGTACTGTTTAATTCTGGCAGATGTAGAAGTAATAAAGTAATTTAACATTTTAATTTATTTATATTTAAATTTGTGTAATGTAAACAGGTAATTTAAGTGATCATATTTTGCCAAACGCATCGTTTGTGTAATAAAAAATAAAAGTGGGCGTTTGCGCAGTAGGACGGAAAGATTTTATCTGTTGGCAATACAGAAAAAATGGCGCCCACCGGAAGTGTCCGAGTGCGGCGCGCGGCGCGTTACCATTTTTTCTTTTTTTGTTTTAAATGGCTTTTTCCCGGCAGCGTTCGGCCGGAAATGCGTTTGCGTAGAACTGCTGTTCAAAGCTCAACGGTAATAGGTCTTATAAAGTTTATATGCAATTTTAACACTTGATACCGTTTCTTAGAGTTAACTTTCCAGCACCTGGCCTAAAAATAAAACTGTTTTATGTAGACTCGAAGGCACGGTGTGTAGCGCTAAATAGCATGTTTTTATTCATGAGGCTCCCATTCTGTTTAGCGAGCGATTCTCTGCTGATTTATTGTCTTTGTAATAAATTTGGGAAACTGAAGAACGTTTCTGTTTACAAGAACGCTTTGAATATATTTGTGCAAGAAATATTCTACTATCCAATTGGATTTAACAGTACAATACTTTAAAAAAATATAGCTTAATAAGTTAGTAAAAAGAATAAATTGTTATTATTATTAAGAACAAAAAGCTAATAAATATTTACAGTCACTAAATCAGTTCTAAATTTAAATTCATGGTATTTTATATTTATGATTTTGGTTGTAGAGACATTAATAAAATAAGCAATGCAGGCAGGATTTCTCATACTTAAATAAATAACATTTTAAATTAATGAACGTTTGCAATAGGTTGTACAGCAAAAATTTATGATATCTTAACATAAAAATTAAATTAAAAACTGAGCTTAAGATTAATTATACATATTTACAATCTTTGTCAATCAGCAATAGTTCTTTGTTC